AAAGAAAGAAAGAAAGAAAGAAAGAAAGAAAGAAAGAAAGAAAGAAAGAAAGAAAGAAAGAAAGAAAGAAAGAAAGAAAGAAAGAAAGAAAGAAAGCCGGCCCATTCAATCCTCTTAACCAAATCTCCAGTTCAGCCATACAGGGGCCACAGCACGCACTGTAAAGATGGAAACACCACCCAGGCCACCCAACAGGCTAGAGGCTCCACTCACTGACTGCAGGTCATCATGTCGTCAAGAGAACCATAAAACTGGCATTCCCGATAACACGCTGTTTCAGGTTCATTCTGCCACATTTATGCAGCTGCCTGCACTTCATAATTTTACATTTGGAAAGGAAAAATGCTGCTAGGGAACCCAAATGTGCACCACTCCCAGGCCGACAGTCAGCTGCTCACAAGAGTGACATCTGAACACCATTTAACATGTCACTCATAGCTCAGCTTCAGAAAAGGATGTTTAGTAAGAAAGGAAAATAATACATTCTATCCAATGGAAAACAAAGTTAGGGCCTCCGAGGGCTAAGGCCTGGCAGATAACCCGTGACTAAATGACAGAAACATTAAGAAGGAAAAAGTTTTGTCTCCTGCAGAAAAAGACAGGACAGTAATTCCAAAGAAGTCTACCTCATATATTTGAAAATGATAATTCAGGTAACACTGAGCCACAATTTCTCTAATGCTGGAGGGAGAATATTCCTAATTGTACACACTTCAAGGCTTGTTTGACCAAAGAGCTGGTCACCGAATCAGTGCAAATTGGGAGAAGGGAACACCCCTACCACAATGCCTGCCCTCTTCCTTCCTCCATCCTGGCTGGCTCAATGAACAACCCCTGCACACAGAACTTCTAAGTGGACACAGTAAATTTGTCTGGGCAGGAATCAAAGGGTGTAATTATATAACTAATTTCACTACAGTCAACCATGCAATTTTAAATTTGCAAGAGACCTTGAAGATCATCAGGCACGTACTCGAGTTTTCACAGGTGCCTCCTTCCAAGAGGATGACTCAGTTCGGAGGTCACCGAGTAGGTGGGCAGAACTGGGCTTCCATTCGAGAATCTGCTTCCAACAAGGAAGTAGGTAGATATCACTTCCTCAGAAGCCCATATTATTTTGGAGCATAGCTTGGAATTTATATATGGCTCACAGTTGGAGCAGTTGAATGCCACCCCCAAACCAAGACTGTCAGACAGGGCATCATGTTCAGCAAGAGGTATTCAATAAACATTGGTGCAACAGAACCTGGATGCTCCCCTTAAACCTCTCAAACCTTGTCCACCCCAGTAATTCACTCACTCTAAGGTAACAAAGTCAGCAACACTGAAATCTGCTCTCTCTTGTGTGATTAATCTCATAGGTTCTCAGCTCCAGTGGGATACCTGGAAGATGTAGTGTGTTACCTGTTTGTTTGGTTGTTTCATTCAGTTTTTCTTTCAGATCTCTCTTTTTTTTTTAAAGATTTATTTATTTATACATATAGAACTGGGGTACAGTCCAGAGGTGCAGGGGGATAAGAAGATTCATAGAGACAGAGTGGGGGAGCAGAACAGGCAGATCATCAAAGTACACTGCTGAGGGGAGCAAGGGGTGAGACAAGAGAGGTCTGCTGCGCCATGTGGGTCAGCTCCCTGGGCGGGGATTGAACTCATGCTGCAGTGGCTGGATAGCTTCATAGTGCTGGGGTTTAACCCATTGCACTACGGGACTGAGCCTCCTTTTGGGTTTTTTTTTTTTTTTTTGGACCACAAATACATTCTATTCAGATCCAACTAGCCTGGCAAATTTCAGGAACTAACACAGTACATGTAGTTGTGCTCTCTGCTCTCTATCACTATAACGACATTTTCTCAAATATCCTGTCACCTGGGTTGGCAAGAAATAGCCATGCACTTGAATAGGGTGTCCTGGGACACCAGCTAAATGAGGTCTGATGAAATTTAAAGCTAGCAAATGCCAAGCCCTTCAGCTGACTTACCCTGAACCGCTTGAGTTTCAAGACCAGTTGTGCAGGCTGAAGTCCACTCTTCTCTCTTGCTCATGGTCTCTGGCAGTACCACTTCAGAGGCCTCAAAATAAACTCTTTCATTTTGCTCCAGTATGCTGCAGTAAAACAAAACAAAACACCAAGTCAGAATGAAAATGCCACTTCAAGCAGTTAGTTGATATTCAAGGGGAAATCCCTGGCCTTTCTCAGATGTATGTTTTATAACCTCAAACAGCATGTTAATTATAAGAACGAAGCTATCACACAACTGATCTACATGTGGTACCCTAAAATACTCAAAGGGGAGGGAGGAGGTGGGGGAGAGGAAGAAGGCACAGCGTACGTTAGAGAAGCTCTGAGTCCTGAATATTATGGTATATACCAGTGGGAATGAGCTTGCAAAATGTCAAGTTTACTAACTGAAGAAATAAGAAAGAAGGATTTATTCGGTTTAAATAATGAATGATGTGGGTGTAAAGTCAGAGAGGGCAGAAAGTGGAGAAAGTTTTGATTCGAAGTAAAGTTCATCTGATTCTGTTGATGAAGGGCTCAGGTTGGTGAGCTAATAAAAATTTCTCTTTTTAATAAAAGGTTCCCAGAACTGAACAGCAGCAAAAAAGAGACAAAATAGAAGACAGGAAATTTTCCATTTTGTACTACAAATAGGTAATTGATGGGTTTCCGTTCTGATTCTTGATAAATCTTGATAAATATCTTCCCCACCCAAGCTGGAAAGCAGCAGTTACTTTACACACTGAATATGAAATGAATAAAATATGCATACCGCCTACCCCCACTCAGAGCAGCTGATAAAGCCTACACATGAGAAGTGTGTGTGACGAGGTCGTTCTGGAAAGTTCTCTACTGCCTTGTGAGCTCATAACACTGTGTTATCAGACTAACAGTCGGGGAGCTGTTTAGCTTCTCCTGGGGCTCATTCAGAGCCACCCACCATTGGATTTTTCACAATGGTTATTGAAAGTCTAGAAACCTTCCCAAAAAGCCCGCAGCCTTTTTTAGCATTTCATGTGCTATTCCTCCTCTGCCTTGAAAGCCCATTGCAAGGCTATTGCTCAGTTCTCTACTGTGCCTGCATCCTTCTTGTAACTCTAAACCCTGAATCTCCAAAGGTCAGAGGCAATTGCTAAAGACCTCTTCATCCAATGACCTAATTGTAAGAGAAAGGATATATTTTTATGTCTTGCTAGGCTGCTATGTGATTAATCAATTCCTTGAAAGCTTTCTGAAGCTATTACATTATAGAATACTCCACATTTTCTAAAAGGACATTTTGGGGCTTGAGATATCTGTGGTTAAATTCAAGTTAGGCACTTAAAATTTTGAGGAGAAAGCAGCTCTTGGTTAATGTTTAAACAAATGAGTGAAGTTTAAGGACATTATATTTTCAGTCTAGCTGGAAGAGCAATTGCCTGAAAATGACAATTTTTGAAAAATATTCCTTGATGCTATCAATACGCACCAAAAGTAGGGTGGTGGCAATTTTATTAGTTTTCAGAGCAGTTTTCATGAAATGTAACTCAGCTCCCACTCAACTGTGTAACAGTAACATATTGATACAAATCAACATAAGCCAGGAAGTTCAAAGCATGACAAACTGTCTTTAGTTTACATTTTGGTAAAAACAGAATTTGGAAGGAAAAGGAAGATTTAAGCAAACTCACTACAAGCTAATAGCTGGTATCAATCCTCTTTTACTAAAAATAAAATTCTGCATTTTTCTGATTTGTTAGCAATTTTATATTTGATATCTTAGAACTGGAAAGGATCTTTGCCATCTAGTTAAAAATTCTTTTCCAAATGAAGCGGCTGGCCCAGGGAAGTTGGCAGGCCTCTGAAAGTCACACAGCAGGTTAATGTGTGATTAGACTGGGCTCTTTTAAGTACTTGTTCATGTGATTCTTAATGGACATAGAGACACTGAATGTAACAGAAATGTAGAGCTGGTTTGAAAAGATCTTGAGAAACCAAATGCTTTCTCATAGTATACTTTCTCTTTTTTATTTTTCACCATTTGGAGTTTTCCAGAGAAAGCAAATCATTTCTAGATCATATTCTTAACTCCAAGTGCAGCAAAATCTGAGAGGGGCAGAATGGTATCACTATTAGGGCCAGAATCAGATGTCCAAATAAATAAATGACTATTTTTTTTTAAAGATTTATTTGTTTATTCGTAGAACTAGAAAGCAAACCAGAATTGCAAGGGGTTTGAGGACCCACCAGAGACAGAGTGGGAAGCAGAAAAGGAGAATCGACTGAAATACATTGCTGAGGGGAGCAGCGGGTGAGACAGGAGAGGTCTGCTGTGCCATGTGGGTCAGCGCCTTGGATGGGGATCAAACTAAGGCCAAGGTGTGGCAGCACTGAGACTTAACCCCTAGGCCACCAGGCCTCAAAAAATGATTTTTTGAAGAAAAATAAATTCATAAATAAGGACTCATCTATGTGACAAGAATTTCCATTCCTATCTATATAGAAAATGAGGTCAAGGAGTTGGAAGTGATTCATTTTGTGATTTATGGCAGTCTCAATTACACATCGTATGATGTGTATGAGCCAATTTTTTATTAAAAAAAGCCACGAAAATTCTACGCACCCCCTTTTCAGCAAGAATTTGAATATATGTCCCTCCTTCTGCAACTGTTCACCAGTACTGCTAACAACCAACAAAACAATCTGCCTTTAAATTTAATCTTCTTTGCTTACCCATTCTTGTTTGCCAGTCGAAGTTATAAATAGACAAGACCAAAAGTGCAGAAAGGAGAAAAGAACACCAGGGGCGGAGAACATTCCCAGATACGATATGCCTGAACACTAAAAAATTGACTAGATAAACAAAGATTTCACTCCAGAATGTTTTTACTGGGCTATGAAATTCGGTAAGCATTTTTTGTGACAATTTTCTGAATTGTTATTAGCAGTAGCAACAAAGTTCAATCTATCAATTTAGGTCAGAAACACTCCTATGGCTTATAGTTTAGTATTAATTTTGTAACTAACTGGATTTTAAAATTTAAGTCACTGCGACCGAAGCAGAGGGAGGACCTTACCTATCAAATAAAGAGACCCAAGTAAATAACCTTCCTAATTAATTATCATTTTTATTTATATAAATGTGACTCAAGTTGTTTTTACATGTATTTGTGTAGACCATATCAAATAAAATCTCTACAAACACAACTATATCTTATGTGATCTATACGGTGTATCTTTTTTTTTTTAAGATTTATTTATTTATGCATACAGAGCTGGGGTACAGGCTAGAGGCACAGGGGCGGTGAGAGGATTCACCAGAGACTGAGTGGGGAGCAGAACAGGCAGACTGACAAAGTACACTGCTTAAGGGAGCAGTGGGTAGGTCAGGAGGGGTCTACCGTGCCATATGGTCACCTCTGGGACAGGGATTGATCTCATGCTGAAGTGGCTTTAGCTTCTTAGTGCTGTGCTTTAAACCACTGCGCCACCAGGGAGGACCCTATATGGTAAATCTTTAGTATAAAATCCAACAATGAGACAGAAATTACATAAGCAGAGAATGAATGGACTGTCACCTCAATGGGGAACAAGTGTTCTATACAAATAATGCTGGGAAAATTAGTTTTTCATTGAGAAAGTGTCAGATCCCTAGCTCATGCCATTCAGAAAATAAATTCTAATTAAAGAACTAAACATACAAATATGTTTACATAGACAGATATGTCTATTACAATATATGTGGACATAATTTTCTATAATAAAAGAAATAAAAATATTTTTTAAAGATTTATTTATGCATATAAGAACTGCGGTGTAGGCGAGATGTGTGAAACTTGAGGGAATTCACCAGACACAGAGTGGGGACCAGAACACTGCTGAGGGGATCAGTAGGTGAGAAAGGAGAGGTCTGCTGTACCATGTAGGTCACCTCCTTGGCTGGGGATCAAACTCGTGCTGCAGTGGCTATAGATAGCTTCATAGTGCTGTGCTTTAACCTGTTGCACCACCCGGAAGGCCTCTATTACTTTTATAATAATGAAATGCCTTGATGCTACTGTAAAGACATTAGTTTTCTACTATAAGTAAAATGGGAAGTCATTGGAGAATTTTGAATGGTGCAGTGTAAATATCTGCCATCTGTTTTGAGGGATTATTCCATGTTGTGTGAAAATTAGACTGTAAGTGGACAGGGGTGAAAACAAAGGACCCAATTAGGCTCTGCCAAAGCTCAGGAGAGACACCTACTACCTGGACCAATGCGCTGAAATTGAGGGAGGAGGCAATGAGAACTGGTAAGAACCTGAACATACCCTGGAGATTACACTGGTAAGTGATATAAGACAAAGTGGTGAAAAGGATCTCTCCAAGATTTTTTTTTTTTTTGGAAGGTTTATTTTACTTGATTATACATACAAGAGCTGGGGTGGAGGCCAGAGTTGCAGGGTGGGGGGTGGGGCAGGAGGATTCACCAGAGACACAGTAGAGAATGTAACAGGCAGATTGACTGAAATCCACTGCTGAGGGGAGCTGCAGGGGGGACAGGAGAGGTCTCTGCTGTGCCATGTGGATCACCTCCCTGGCTGGGGATCAAACTAGTGCTGCAGTAGCTGGTGATAACTTCATTGTGCTGACACTTAACTCTTGTGTCACCAGGAAGACCCTTTCTAAGGTTTGAGCCAATATGTCTAAGAATAGAGTTGCCATTCATCAAGATGGAAGACAGTGGCAGAATTGCTGGGGTGGGAAAGCAACATGTTTCCAAGGTCAGTGCCTAATTGGAACAGGCACTACATCCTGGTAGACAGGATGTGTAAGTTTGGAATTCAGAGATGTGAAGAGAAAATATAAGTTAAAGCACAAGTTGTTCTCATAGGCAGTCACCAAGATGGCTCCAGAGTACCCATCTCTTGGTATTCATGTACAGTCTTCTCCCCAGAAGATGAACTGTTGTTCTAATGATTCACTTCTAGCAACGTTATGGGCAAGTCATTCCATGGTTCCTTACGAAGGGCCAGCTTCCACCTTGGGTGTTCCCTTTTATTCTCTCCTAGGTTATTCACCTGGGGAAGACCACTGCTGGGGTATAAGGCCTTCCGGGGAGCAGGAGAGGGGGCATGCAGAA